AGAGAACATTTCAGATCTCAATGCAGTAATTCTGACACCAGTTTGTACATGCACACCAATAAAAAGAAGAAAAAAAGGAAAAGTGGCTATTAATATTAAGAGCCTACCCACAGTTTTTTGAAATTAGGTATTTTCCAGGGCTTATGTTGATTTTGAAGAGATAGCAGTATGTTCTTAAATGCTCTGTGCGCAGGAACAGATCCCAGCAATGCTGAGGCTGAGGGTCAGGTTTGCTGAGTGTGATGTTCCATTAGTATAGCTCTACTGAAAGAGTATTTTTAGTCTGTGCTGCAAAATGAACCAGCATAAGCTGGCCTGAGCTCAGACATCTTTATTTCAATCATAAGCTGAAGACAAGCCCTTAGAGAGGATCATGAGAGCTCTTGAATCAAGCAAAATTCATGACAGCAGGCTGTCTGGGGATTTCCCAAGTCAGCAGTCACACCTGGACCGGCATGTTCTGCAGAGGCCAGTGACCATGCCCTCTGTTATTTCATTTAATCTCTTTTTGTGCCAAGGCTTTTGGTCTCTGTGGCGTCATATGGCAGCGCCTTCTGCACTTCATGCATGAAAGAGCCCTTCCTTTCATTTACATTTGTTGTCTGATGCTTTTACTGGGAACCCGCTGGTTCTGGCAATGTTATGAAAGACTGATTCAGGAGTTCCTGTTCACCTTCATCGTTTTACGTTTATACTTCCCATAACAGATCTCTTCCAAATTGAAACATCTTGATCTCTGTAGGCACTCTACTGCTGTACATAGTTTTTTCCTGGAGGTCTCGCAAACAATGGTCCTTCCACTGTTACAACTGACTGCAACACCTGGGGTGTGGTGTACCAGCCAATGAAGCAATAGTCCCTGGTCTTCCCTTGGTCAGATCCTCCCACACAGGTATCCTCTTTTTAACTCTTCTCCCAGGTCCTTTTCCCACTGCCTGTTTGCTCTCTCCGTTTGGAGCCTTGTTCAGACCCCAGGCTATGTTCCCTTACCAAAGCAGTCGAGAGAGGAAACTATATGGATGTTGATGGGGTGTAGAGGTTTAGGATTACCAATGCCAACCCACAAGTTGTATAAACAAACTGTCTGTGGCCAATTCCTCACTCAAGGAACTTTTAGGCTTAATAAAAGGAACCCTCAAACTTAGTAATTAATTATATGTGACCATATACATAGCACTATGTCTAAGTTAGCCATATATTAATTCATAATCTGTGTATGTCAGACACGTCAACTCAAGGTCAGAAGACTCCATGTGAAGGTCTGTAGCCTGAGGCTGTGAGCAGAGTAATTTATTATCCCTCCTCCAGGACTCCCACTTTGCAGGAGACAAAAGCATCATCACAGGAGTATGTCTGGCCCTTTTGAGTTAGGTCTCAAAGCAAAACTTGGGAAAACTGGAAAACAAACTAAATGAACCGGAATAAAATATTTACTATTGTCTTCACACACTGAATTTTACATAGCTCTTCCCAGAACAATCTGGATCAATGAAAACACTTTTTGACAGAGTGGAGACGCAATGTTCTTTGGCAAAAGAATCAATCGAAATTCCAGCTCGGACAAAATAATTTTCCCATTCAAGACCAAATTACATGCTGCTGGCTGTTGGGTTAGTGTTCCTCTGCCAGGGGTAAAATTTCTGAAGCCTATCTAGCAGTATTTACAAGAAGAAGTGCTAGAGCACCATAAACGAGAAATTTTCATGAGGCAGGGGAATGCTTCCACATTAGCACTTCAGAAAAATAAGGCTGACCAGGAGATCTGATCCCTTTGAGCATGGTTGCGAGGAAACCCATAACCACAGCACCAGTGTTTTTCCACCCCTCTTTGCTGGCTCTCAGCAGCAACCATGAATAACAAGCAGGAAAAACAGAGGCAGGTTTTGAAGAGAAATGAGGGCAGAGGAGGGGGGGAGGGAGGCGGGCCCATCTTATGCAAGAGTGAATATAAAAGGGGGAGCAGAGTACCCCTCCAAAATTGCAAAGAGTGGGGCAAAAGGAGAGCACGAACCTCATCGCTGAAGAACAGGTTTGAGAGGTCTGTGTTTCTTTGTACCTTTACTGTGGCTGTTGCAGGGAGAGATTGATTAGGAAATGTGTGTGGGCCATGGGCTAGTTTTGCACAGGGGATGCCTGTAGGAACAGCCTTTCTTTCATCTTTAGTTCCTTGTTGCCAGAAAGCTTTTTGCCCAAGTTTGACCCAAAGCAGGTTTTCTGGCACAGCTCTCTTTAGGGGGCAAAATCCTTGGACAGCAGAGCTAAAGGGCAGGATAGAGACTCTTCTTTCTGAAGTGGAAGCTCTATCTTTAAGCGCACTCTCATTCCTAAAACCATGTCAATCCAACAAGAAAAAAAGCCTCACAGCAGAGTCCGCATCTAGTAATTGGAATAATGCTCATGCACTCCTGCTTAAAAATGTCTCAGAAGTAAAATGAAAGACTAACTGTAATTATGTACAACTGGGATAAAATATGTTGCAGGTGTGGCAGGCTATGTTCTCCAAGGTCTGAAACCTTCTCCTTTGACAGAAACTGTTAGAAGATAAAAGACAAAGATCTAAGAAGTGCACTAGTGTGTGATGCATCTTAATAGGGCAATATTAATTGAGTGAACATAAGTGATTGATTGGCAAATGAGGGGAGAGCTGTGTCTGAGCTTTGTAGTAGAGCATGAACATAAGGTGAAATCAAAGGTTCTCCCTCATTACTGAGGCCAGCCAAATTCCCGGTGGTCTGCAGCAGGAGTAGCACTGTGGTGAAACCAGGACATTGAACATTTCTTCATGAAACTTTTTTTCTTGAGAAAGCTGGGTATTTTAATTTGATGACTTTATTGACTGGGGGAGAGGTTAGGGAGGAGCAGGGAAGATGATAAACTTTTGTGCTCCTCAAGGGCATTATCAACAGAAAATAATAGAACTAAGTCTGCAAACATCAGAAGAGACCCAAATGTCAGCTTATCTGAAAACCCTGAGAACGTTCAATTAAACTGAACTTTGTTTTATGTGACAGAGCCACCAGACCACCATGCTGGAGTTATTGTTCAGGTGCCTCCTGCTCCCCCTCTTCTTCAGGGCAGCATCACCTGCAACCAGGGATGCCTGACTTAGGGCTGGTACCTATAGCAAAACAAGACCACCAGCTGCAGAACAGCTTGGTCATGACCTGCAGGGGAGCTGGAAGTAGGGGATACCTGAACAACACTGCCCTAGGGGTGCTACAGCACAGAGGAATAATGATTTCGGGGGAAAAAAAATACAGTGGCTGCATGTTTTGTGATTTCCCCTTCCAGGGCTTATTGTCCACAGCAAACATGGCACTATATGTACTATATGTTATTAGCTTCACTTGTAGCTTATTAGCCAGAGGCAATAATTCTTTTTAATAAGGATACTTTTCAGAATTTTACAAAATGCAAAATGCCCTTCACTGAAACAGCCTTCATCTGTGTGTCCTCAATACAGAGAGTATCCTTAGTACAGTGTCCTCAGTCAGGCTGGGTTTGCTTCTTCCCTGTGTTCAAGCCTCATCTAGGAGGACACAGTAGACCAGCTATAGCTCACAGGCATGGTGTTGTCTGGCCGTCTGTGCGTGCTGCTGATGCCAAGGGCCTCATGGGAACCCACATGGGTGGTGGTGCCGGAGATACAGATTTGGGCTGTGCTCATGTCCCATCCACACCTCCCCTGGCCTCTAAGGGACCAGCTGTCTCCCCCAACATGCCTGCAGGAAGGCCTCTAGGGGAGAGAGGAAAGAAGGGGGATTGCAACTTGAAACATATCTTGTTCTCTTAGCATTTAGCTGAACAAAATGCATTTTCATGGAGGAGCTACTTCTCCCATTGCCTATATCTGTAGATGAGCTGCATGCATTTCATACCTGTCTGGAGAAGGTACAAATGCTCAGGGACTGTTCTGCAGCCAGAAGCTTCCTCAACTGAGATGCTCAGGCGGCAAGAGGACAAAACACCTTGAATATTTCAAGCTGTTTGTTTAAACCTTCAGTGCCTGATAGCATGTCATACAGGTCTGGGCTTGGAACCACTTTCAGATCTCATTGGAGCAAAGCTAGTTAGTTTATTTAAATGAAAAGCAAGACTGCAGAGACCGAGATTTCCCATCTCTTTGGCATTAGGCACCTGGCACACAGCCCTTGGGCTGGCAAGACTCAGCTCTCTCTGTCTCCACCTTCATCCAGCTCCACTGGCCAGGTGCACTGAAAACATCCTTCTCTAGAGCCTCTCTCCTTGAACCCAGCATGTAACTGGGCACTGCAGTACAAATCATGCCTGACTGGCCCTCTGTAATCAAAACACAGATGACAAATCAGCCTTACTCCTGTTGGAGCCATGGGATTTTAATTACTAAGTATAACAGGGGCACTGAATAAGACCAGTCTAACCATCTAAACATTATCCCTAGTTTTGATTCACTGTTAATTTGCTTAAAGAGGAAGAAGGGGCACACCAGAATTGGAAGACAGTTTCAAAAGCAGCAGACAGATCTCTAAATCCCACCCTTTTCGCCAAATAGGACTTGGGAGACTGAGAGGTATGAAATCTCTGTTATACAGCACTGGCAACCTTGTCCATCTGGCTTTCATCTTCTCCTTTCCAACACATTTTGTTTTGAAGAGGAAAAAGAACAAAGCCTTGACATTTTGGACAGATCAAGAGGGAAAGAAAGGGTAAAAATTGAGGGCTTAATCACTTTACTCTGTAATAACATACATGCCTCACACACTGATGGGCACCCAGGATGCAAGATAGAGATTAAAGGTGATCTATCTGAGAAGACAAAAATCTAGTCCAACTGTACAACAAATATATATACAAAGAAATCTGCCTTCCTTTCAGTCTGGCATAAAATGAGCTATTTTCAGCTCCTATAATCAGTTATTCTGCATAGTAAAACGCCTGTCTGTCTTAGTAAATGTGTAACTGCAGGCCACCCAGGTGTGCTGGGTCTGGTTAAAGGTTGTGTATCCGTCCCTGGAACTTTCTATGCAGCTGGTGTTAAGCTGGGCTCAGGTTTCATTGGGCCCTGTCTGGCCTGAGCTCACTTTTTTCATCCCCCCAGCCTGTGATGTAAAGTAGCTTTGCGCAATGCCGCTGCAGACATGTAGAAAGGGTCCTCTGGTAGAAAGGGCATAAATCCACCTGCAGTCACACCACCTCAGAGGGAAGAGGTACAGTGGGGAGCTCACCTGAGAGGTAACAGTGTCAGCGGGGCAACGGAAGGGCAACACACACCAGGACAGAGGCAAGTAAGCACTCTTACTGAATTTTCTTGGAATAGTAGTTTTCAACTCAGGTGTTCATGCTTTTCTGAAGGGCTTAGGGCTGTCTTCTTTAGGGAAATAAACCAGGCAGACTTTCCACAGATGGGCCTTAGGGGAAGTGCTGGCAGGGAGAACTGCTCCTCTTGCTTCTGCTCACGAGAAAAGAGCTGAACTGGGTGCGCTGGCGGCCATAGGGAAGTAACCGCTGGGCACCAGCAGCTCGTAATGGCACAGCCTGCCTGGGTGGCACAGAGTGACCCTCCCTGCTGCTGCAGGAAGGATCAGGAAAATGCCTCGAAAGAACTGTATGATGGAGAGAACAGTGTGGGCAGTGCTTCTAATCTGTGACTTTTTGGTTCATTTTCCTGAGCTGTCCCAATATCAAAAATGCGTCACATGGTCTAGAAATGCACTAGCAGAGTGGCTGGGCTCTCTGTGGAGATGAAGTTGGGAAGGCAACTCCAAAGATAATTTTTTAACTGGTCATAAGCAATGAAGAAGCTCTGTCACACATGTCACTTGGTGCCAGCAGGGCTGGGGAGGCGAAGAGGGGACAGCAGCAGAACTGTGCTGCATGTAAAATAATTTAGAGGATGAGGTGGGACACAGTGGGGTACAACAATCCTTGGGTGAAGGCACGGGGCCAGAGATCTACAGCAGGTCCTCCACTTCATGCCGCTGGGGAGCAGTTTCAGGCCTGATGTGCAAGCACTCTCTAGGAAGATGCTTATACATCACAGCAGCAGAAACTCCATTTCTAGCAGCAAACCAAGCTGTTAGAAGAGTTTAAATCCTGAGAACGTAGATGTCCGCATGAACAGACATCCATACTTTGCAAGGTATGTCTAGTTGTCAAGCATCTGCACATCTCAGTTTTTGGAGGTGCAAGAGAGTAGTGACACTGCAAACTGGAGTATTGTTAGGTGTGAAACACTTGGGGACCCCTCAAGGGAGTTAATATTTTTTATACATTGTAAATCAGGCTGGGAAAGTGCTGGATCTTGAATGGCTGGGTTTAAACCCAAACACTTCCACCTTGTGTAAATTCAAGTGCTGGTGAGACAGACATTGCTCTGAGTCCACTCAATAGGCTACCGGAATTACAATATCTGACAGACTGGTGTGACTGGAATTGTCTTGCAGAAAGCAAGCAGAAAGCAGAGCTTGGGTGCTGACAAGGCTTACAGCATTTTGTCCATCCAGTGAGCTCTGCAGGACTTGGAAAGGGCTGAAGAGGGTGAACAGAGCTGCAATGAACAAGAAGTTACTAGCAGAATAAAAATACAGCTCTGAATAACAGAATTTTTGGCCAATAATAAGTGTTATAGATGCATAATTTTCAACATATTTGGATTTCAAGTACATAAATTCAAAGTCATATACTGGAAATCCAAAAATGCTGCTGCAGAACTATTAGTTATCAAAAGATTGGATATGGATATAGGAAAAGTGAGAATTCCAAAAATGTAAAATTTGTCAGTGGGTATACCTGTCTGTGTCTGTTTACGTTCCTGACTTTCTCATTCCCAACATGCACTATATCCTTTGTGCCAAAACACCAGTGACACCCACAGACAGTAAAAATCTCTGCTTCTCATCAGGAAAAACAAGCAGCAGGTGCTCTTTTACCGCAGGAGAAGACTGCCTGTACAGAAAAGTAAAATTCAGCCTACCCCTTCTAACTCTGTATTCAGATACAGGTGGTGTTATGAAAATGGTTTCAGTGTTACCACATTTGTACAAGGGAGCCTGGCGTGTGTTTGCCTAGGTGTTAGAATGAATGTTTGCACTGGGCTATGAAAACGTAACATGCTCTACCAGTGCCAAGTATTTTGCTGACTAGACATACTAAGCAGGATCGTTCCATGTTTGGCCCTACAGAGAACTGGTTTCCAAACCCACTTCCTGCATAACAGCAGGCGAATGGCTTAGCCCGTCTGTGTGTCAGCAAGACTCAGCGTGGCAGTTTGCAGAGATAACTCTGACCAGGTCCCAGGAACAAATGCTGTTGCATTATTATAATGTTTTGCAGAACTAGCATGCTCTTGTCTGCAGGCCTAACCAGCCTGAACAACCATATTGCTTCCCATGCTAAATCGCTGGGGTACTGCCATGGGTAACGGAGTAACATCTGTGCTCAGCATTTCCCCACCTCCTGCCATTGAAACTGGTGTCCATCTGATCCTGGGCTTTGCCGAGAACAGAGTCAGACTAGTCACGACTAAATACTGAAATTCCTGCCTTTGCATCTCCAGTGCAGCACTAACACCTCATCCTGTGATTCAGAGAAACTGTACTTAAAACAGGCTGACCAGTCTTTTTTTCTCCCCACTTTTTCTTTCAGCAGACACCGGGGAGGCAATTTTCCAACATGAATCTGGTAGCAGATCTTCTCTGTTTGTTGGCTTGCCTTGCCCTGGTGACTTGTGACAGGGTCTATGTCCACCCTTTCAATTTGTTTTCTTTCAACGAAAGTGACTGTGACAAGCCGGAAAAACTGGTTCAGGAGGGAAAGACGAAAACTATTATCCCTGTCTCCATTGAGTCTCAAACCACACCTGCCTACGAAGATGACCTGAGTGACAAGGACAAGTTGGAAACCCCGAGCCTAAATGGCTGGGGGAAGGAGGAACCGGGCTACCTGAAGGACTTGGTGTACATCCTGGGGGTGCGGTTTTACGACGTGCTGCGGAAAGCACAGCAGGGCCAAAATGTGCTTCTGTCCCCAACCAGTCTTTACAGCTCCTTGGTGTCTTTCTACCTGGGTGCCTCAAACCAAACAGCACTTGATTTGCAGGGTTTGCTGGGACTTGTTCCCCCCTCTGGAAACCCTGACTGCACTTCCAGGGCAGTCGGCAGCAATTTCCTTTCCAGCCTGAGGACAATCGAAAGCCTCGTGAAGAGCAAGGATGAGGAGCTGCTCTTTTCCAAGACACTCTGCCTGTTCTCTGCCCCTGGAATACCTCTATTTGAACTGTTCATGCAGGACTTGCTCCACTCTGCTGATGCTTTCTACGCCCGAGCTGTTGACTTCACAAATCCAAGTGAGGCAGCGAAACAAATAAGTGCCTTTGTGGAGGCCAAAAGCGAGGGCCAAAGCAAGTGCTTACTGACAGACATCGATCCCTCTGCAGACCTGCTGTTTGCGGTGGACGTCCACTTGGCAGGTATGAGGCAGCACTGCTTATTTTGGGAGCAGGCTGGGTGAAGGACAGGCAGTGGCCCTGCTGCCGGGAAGGAAGCAAGGTCACTCCCAGCTAGTGGTGAAAGGGAAGAGCTCAGATGAAAGGCTGGACTACTGCTCCCCACCACTGTGTTGGGAGTCCTGCTTGCACTCTGCCACAAGCCAGCAAGGGCAATGGGAAGGAGGTGGAGGGAGATGGCCTTGAAGAAATCTTCCTGGTCCAGGAAGCTAAGGATTAGGAAGGGTATGGGAAGGTGCATGAGAGACAATGGCACAGCATTTCTGACTGCAAAGGAACTAAAAGTCACGAGAGACCTCCAGCAAGAATGATCAGGAAGTAGCTTTAAAGGAAAGCAAAGAAATACTTTTCCCTAGAACCTGTATTTCTGCAGGGGAGCTGGGGGTAGCATGCCAGAGGTAGATACAAGAAAGGCTAAAAAATATAATGGACATGAATTGTCTAATGGCTATTAAACATAGAAGTCTGGAGGCAACATCTGGCTCAGGAAGCAGCCAAACAAGCAGGGGAGCATATACAAATCTAGAAGAAATTTGTCACCTAGGGTCATTCCATGCTGCTGTCCCAAAAATTTCCCTGCACTACAAGTGAGCCTTCTCTTCTGAGTGTAGATGCTTTCTAACATCCTTGTGACTCAATGCAGTATCAGAGACCATGCATTTTAGGCATCTTTGCTCTGCGACTGACAGCCTTTTCCACTTCAGTTATCTTCCCTACATTGTAGACACATTTCTTTTCTGCTCCAATGTGGTTGCCAAACGGTTCCCAAACCCAAGGCTTCTTTGATGTCCTGATGCGAGAGACCTCACTGTAAAAAAACATTTCTTCCAATGTGTCAACTATCACCTTCTATAGAAGGAAACAGCCATATTAAAATCTTAACATCTTTTAGAGCACTTTCAGGAGAGTTTGCGCCACCCAGTTACACATTGGAGAGCACAGATGTCCAGACCCTCACCTAGCAGGGAGCCATTTCAAAAGCAGGGGTGCTGATTATCCATTGTTCACAACTGGCACAGTGTTAATGGACTCAGTCCCAAAGTCAGTAGCAGAGCTTTTCAATTTTGCAATATTTTCCCAAGATTACTTAAAAGCAATTAGAGGTGAACATCTCCACTTCTTTATTCTTTGTTTTGCTTACACCCTCCCCACCTCCTACCTGCTGCTTCTTTTGGTGAAGTTAGAGTAGGTAAAAATGTCTAATTGTTCTTTTAATGCAGCTCATTTAAGAGGCAAGTGTTCCTATGCAAACCCACTTACTACATATTAAATATGTTAGGGTCCAGCATTAATCTGGATTTATTGGAGAACAGGTTAGTTAACAGTACAGCTAGACCAGCTCCTATTTTAATTAATATACCAATATTAATTACTTTAAGGAGTTCCTTTCTTTTTTACGAAATATACATCTGTTTTCCTAATTCCCTAATTCCACCAAACGATTCTGAGATTTCTGGTCTTTGCTCCCTTGCTGACACCAGTTGTTTCTTCAATGCTAACAGGATTATCTGCCTAACTGGGCAGCAGCACAGATCTATGGCAGTGAGCAGATAACATGTTGAAATGCAAAGCTGCATAGAAGTAGCGGGAGGCGAGAGCAAGGCTTCCCATACTAGTGAACCAGGAAAGAAATTTCTGTTAAGGTTTAGCAAGTGTTCAAGTATGTCCTTTTTTAACCTGTTGTTTGCTCAACCAACACTTTGGTGTTATGCTTACAACCTTCCCCGTTGGTTTGTAAGATTGTGAAGGGTGAGACCTCAGGCAGAATTTGTGCTGCTGTCCCTCTCCCAAGTCCACCAGGCTGCCTGAGGGTGCTCCTGCAGTAAGGGATGGATATGCTTCCAAACATGCCATCATCACTGCTTGAGGGATGGAGAGGAAATCAAGCAGACCCTCTGCAGACAGCCAAGCAAGCAAAAAGACTGTGCCCAGGAAAGGCCACAAAGCCAGTAGAAATAGAGCAGCTTTGGTCACAGTGGTCCCTGTGCTGTGATGCACCAGAAGGCATATTAAAGGGAGGATACATATGTTTACAGTAGTTAAATGTGATTTTATACACACAGTCTTCTCTAATGCACAGCATATTGTTTTTAAACAAACATATATACCAGCTAAGGGGCAAGAGGGGAGGAAGGAAGAAAAAAAAGAATCAATTCCTTCTTTCTCAATCTGTTTTTCAGTGAATGTTAAGCAAGCCTTCCAGCTCAAAGAGCCTCAGGAGTTCTGGGTGGATTCAAACACAAATGTCATGGTCCCTATGTTGTCCATCACGGGGACATTCCAGTACAAAACTGATGCCAGTGGGACTTTCTCTGTGGTGGAAGTCCCTATCGGCAAGACGGCACTGCTGGTGCTGCTGCAGCCCACCAACGGCAGTGACTTGGAGCACATGGAGTCCGAGCTGACGGGGCAGTCCTCAGCCTGGCTTCAGCGGCTGTCCCCAAGGTAGGGAGGGATGGGTTTGGGGTGCACCACACAGGCCTGCCTGCTTGCTGATAGGGGTTGGATCCAGCCAGGGAGAGTTTACTACCGAGCGCAAGGAGAAACACCTGCAGACCCCGAGGCCTCACTTCAAGGAAGCTTTGGTGGGATCAGCCTTTTACCTGGGGATATTCCCAGGAAGGTCTTTTCACAGCTTCCACCCGTTCCCCAGGACTGCCCAAACACTATGCTTTCACAGTGGAGAACAAGCACTCACTTGCCTCTCTCTTTCCCGCTCTTTTCTGCAGAGAAATTAAATTAACGCTGCCGGTGCTAACAATAGAAGACAGCACTGATCTACAGGAGCTTCTTGCAGATATGAAACTGCCTGCACTGCTGGGGAAGGGGGCAGATTTCAGTAAAATAAGCAACACCAGTCTAACAATTGGAAAGGTACGGTACATGTCACTGGCATTAAAAAAAGCATGCTTCCTGCACAGTTTTAGCTTCATAAACTGAATAAATGTACCTAGAACAAAGCAGTCAGAGCCATGTGGGGGACATATCTAGTAGGGGACTTACAGCATGACTGAAAAATGTGAATATTCCTTGGATTAATTTATCAGCAACAAGAGGTTGCTCTTAGTAAACTACTTAAATTTCATCACTACAGCACATAGCATGTTCAAGATTTGAGTATGCTAGGCTCTGTACATACAAATTGTACTGCATTCAGTACTACCTCCAGTTCAAACAGCTGGAGCATGTAGTAGAGGTTGCAGATACTGGGCTATTGAGGATAATCCTCCATCACTTAAAGACTACTCCCAGAAATCACACAGAGGTGCATGCAGCCCACAACGTCACCTGAAGACGGCTCCAGAGCTCCAGCCTCAAGGGGAAGAAAGGAGAGCTTAATTCATAAAAAGAGGGCATACTACATTCCAGAAATATAATTTGTGTGCCTTAGTTTTATTTTTAGAAGGTGCCCCACCCTCGGAAGTTCTATCAGGGGCTTCAAGATATCCTGGTCTTGGCTGGGAGTTAATTTTCTTCTGGTTAGTGCTATATTTTGGATTTAGTATGAGGAAAGTGTTGATAATACACTGGTGTTTTAGTTGTTGCTGAGTCAGGGGAGGATTGAGCGAGCAGCTGTGTGGTACTTATGTGGCAGCTGGGGTTAAACCACAACAGAAGGGTAACAGGATTACACACCACCCAAGTGTACAAGCAGTTGTACAGCTTTTCCCCAAGTACTCCAGAATCTTTTTTAAGCATCCATGGAATGTAATGTGCTGCTTACAGCTGATCTAAGTTATCAATTGCTTCATGTGCTTTATAATTCACTCAGACTCATATTTGTCTCTTCACTGTCATGCTCTGATGACTCCAGAGTTACTCGTACGTTTTGCCTTACAGGTATTAAATAACGCCTTTTTCAAACTGACTGGTGAGGAAACAGATCAGGCAGAAGATCCTGCAGCACAGAAGGAAGATGGGGTGTACCTGGATATAAAGCTGAACAAGCCGTTCCTTTTTGCTGTTTTGGAAAAGAAGTCAAGGGCAATGCTTCTCCTTGGCAGAGTAGCAAACCCTCTGCATGAGGTTTAAATGCAAACACGGGGGATAAGAAAGGAAGGGAATGATACCATTTCCCATCACTGTTTTCTTATTCATCAGCTGTTTTTGTGATGTTGCTGAGTGCTCTACTTAGAGGTGAAGCAGTTAGTGTTTGAAATACAGCTTTTTGAAAGCTAACACATTGCAACATTTCATCCTCATTCACAAGTTTCATGTGAGGTGACACACTCTTCTTCGAGCTTCTCTTTTTATTCTCACTTTGTCTCCCTTTTGCTCCCAGGTCCCTTTTTTGATGCAGTGGGACAGGGCAGTGTTTCGATGCAAGGCATCGACTTTAAAAAAATAGTTTTATAAGCACAAACAGCATTTACTATAGAAAGGTATAGAAAGGGACCTCTTTGTTCTTAAAGAAGCTTTTAAAATTTTTTGTTTGGTCAGTTTTGCAAGAGACACCCTGTTTTACATTACGGTGAAAATTTTGCAATTATTCACAGAGATTTCTAGCTTCATCAGCAACATTTTCCTTTAAAAAGCTGCCAACAGCACAGGGCAGCCTTTGCTTGTCCCACTGAGACAAGATTTTTTGCCTTGAAAGCAAAAACACGCTCAGAGGAAGTTTCTTCTTTCTGCAGCTCAGATGGATACATTAACTTCTTAACCCCATGGAAATGCTAAAAATAGGGCTTGGTAGCATTAATGAACTGTGATGGATAAATACTCAGAGTGGGACACAATTATCTCTGATTTTTTTTTAGGGGAAAAAAAAAAAGGCCTACTATTCCAATACAGTTGCATTCCTTAGATTACTTCCTAACCTGTGAGGCATTTATTACAGCCTTGTAGTAAAAAAAGACACTACTGGATAGATTCCAGTTCTGTAATCTCTAACATACACAAACCATATGTTCTTTAAAAACGGCATTAATGGCAGTAATATATATTAGTATAAATCGTGGATGTGGTGCTGCCACTTGCAAATAAAATGATTACAGTGGTCCAGTCCAACTGTTAACAGAGTTTGAAGCATTAAAGTGGAACAGCAGATTTTTTAGATGACTCTTGAATTAGGGAGTGAGGAACTGGGAGATAAACCTTGTTACTAAGGAAAGCCTCCCAGTGAAACAAGGATTTCCACCTCTCATCTCTAGATTTGTCTTTAGTACTGATGGCATTTAGAAAATAACTGCAAACCTCTTGGGCATAAGATGGTAGATGCATCCTAAAGAGCACAGCAGCTCATTATCATCCATAGTGCTCCAAATGTCTATCTAATCTAAATGCACTAATGCCAGCAGCTTGCTATCAGTGATGTACATATGTGACAGATCCTTCTAGCTTAATGGAAAATGCTATGACATTGTAAATAAAATAACACAAATCCCAAGAATACTAGATTTCAAGTGCTGTGATATAGCATCCACGTATTTATCCAGTTACACTGTATGTATTTCAGATGCTCTAACATCTAAATATTGTACTTGTATTATGTACAGAAGCAATTAACTGCAAATATACAGAGATGGATAGATGCAAATAAACCCACTTCCAATTAAATTAAAAAGTTCATGCTAATATAAATGTTACCCCAAGGTAGCATCAGCTACAAATAAAATTTCAAACCGCAAAATGTTCCATTTCTATGATAAAGATGGATTATAATGAAAGGAAGCCCCTGAAAACACTGCTGGAAAGTTTGGGACAAAATGCCATTCCTCACAGGTGTGGGCTGCATGCTCTGGGGACTCCATGCCCTGTTCTGTGGTTACAGGCAGAAAAACAAACCAACCAACCCACCATCTACCAAACCAAATGCACTTTTCTGAAAAGAAACTTTGTTGTGGAGAGCACCTCCCCACTGACACCCTGGAGAAGAAAAGAGAGGAGAAAAGGGCAGAAACAGGGAACTAAAAATGTGGAACAGAACAAGCTCATTATTATTAATGGAAAAAGGAGAGTAAATATTCCATCATAGTGAGTGATCCAGCCAAATATACATATTGCTAATTATCTTTAGGTGATGAAGTTAAAAGAGTCTGGTCTAATTCTGCTACAACTTATAAAGTTGTGAATCCAGTTACCATTTTGGAGGAAAACATGCCACTGCATCTCCCCTCCGTCCTCCCCTGTCCCCCCCTCCCCCTCCCTCCAGTATAATCCAAAACCTTTTCCAGCTAAATCCCTTCCAGGATTAGAAAGATATATCAAGTTTTCTAAAGGCCCTAGAATGGAAGAAGAATAAGGCACAAAATCAAAGCTGCATTACTGTCATGAAGTGAAGTGCACTTAAAAAACTACCCAAGGAATAGAAGAAAGAGGATTAGTGGCAAAAGACACCTTCATTAGAACACACTTACTTACATGGTAAATCCTCTCCTCCTCACTGATCCACAGTGTCTGAAAATGTTAAAATTCATTTTACCGAAGACAGAGCCAATTCACACCTCTTATTTCTTTCAACAGAGGTATCACATAAATTCTTAACTGATGTCATATTCCAGTGAAAGAAAATTAAATGGCTATTCAAGTGAACAAAAATAAAAGATGAGGAACTGACATAGAATCAGTGAGGGAGACGTTTACAGCAATCATAGGACTATTCAATAATTTTGATTTGCTAGACATTATTATTTCCTGCCCAGAAACTAAAGCTGGCCTTCAATGAAAAAGAACAGAATTCAGCCTATATCCTCAGCAAGCTGATAATGATGTGTAGGAAGCATTGTTATTGCACAAAGATGTGGGAAATCTCATGCAACTCAAGGGCAAGTAACCCCTTCATGCCTTTTTGGTTTGGTACACAGACTGCATCCTTTTCCCTCATTTTGGAGGATAGGACAGCTTTGTTTGTATCTTCGCTCCCTAGTATGCACAGATCTCAGAATCTGGTACTTTTGTAACAGATGTTACAGAAATTGAAATGTATAGATACACTCTGAAATAAAAAGTTGCACAATGCATTTACAATACTACAATCTTAGTCTCAGCCTACGACTTGCACATCCATTTTATAAGAAGAAAACATTGCTGAAAACAACAGTAGGTAGTGGTAGGAAGACGTCTCTACTTTTGACTCTTAATAAAAGCACATGAAGAGGAGTGGGAAGACCAAGCTTTCCGGGTTCATCAATTAGAAACCTGGAAAAATATAATATAGACAACAAATTCTTGTTCATAAGCAGTAAGAGTTATGTCCATTCAGTAGAGTGTGCTTAAGGCTGAAGATCTCAGTGTCCCTGAAGGAAACAAACAGATCTGTCATTTGACAAGTTGGTTCAGTTTGCTGTTTTTCTTCAGCAATAAATTTGGATGCTCCCCCATATGTTTATGTTGCCATGAAATGAGAGATGCTAAGCAAATTAGAAGAGCCAAATCCTGCTCTCCATTACTGGGACCGAATCCAAGTACTACCACATAATTTTAAGCACTGATATTTTCCCCAGTGCCCTCCTTATAAAATTAATTTTAGAAAAGTCATAATAGCCACCTATCCTAATTGCTTCAAAAGCACCATCATCACACAGTTGTGTCTTCTCAACTAAACTATGGTCAGTTCTCCAACACTGAGGAATAAAAAGCCCTTATGCTGTGAAAGGTTTGCTCACTGCAGCTTCAATGCTACACAACAGCCATGTGCTATATATCTCTGGGTATTCAGAAAATTTCCATCATCTCAGCTCCTGCATCCAAGCTCTCTAAATATGGTTATTTTTAATCAAGAAACACGAACTAGAAGTCCAATGTTAAACTTGTCGCAAGGTAAAAAAAAAACCAAACAAACAAAACAATCAACAAAAAAACCAATGAAAGAACAAATAACACAAACAAAACCTTCCTTCACTCATATGGGGCATTCATTTGAAAACCTCAAATTCACCCCCTACTGTTCCCACACTGTGTTACCTGTCCCTCACCTATAAAAGAGAAGCATCAATAGGCAGATCACTCCAGGTTGAAGAGAGGTCTTTGTTAAGCCTTCTCAACAACGTGATCCATGAAAAAGGCAAGCCAGTAAAAGGAAAACATTCAAAAACCAAACAAGAGCTAACCATGTCCCATGATGAGGGAAAGCAGGTAAGCGCAAAGCAGTAATGAGAAACAGCAGAATCGTGTTCCTGTGAGCACTCTACTCCAGAAGAGCTGGAGTAAAGTTTGAAAGTTTTTGACACTCTGTAAGGAGTTAAAGAGCACAGTTGCCTGTCTCAAACACTGTAAAGGCCACAGAAGGAACTTGCCATACGATAAGCCACCAAGTGGAAACTTGAGATAAGCACAGAAGGGAGGAATTTGTGACACCAAGGCCCTGATCTGGCAGAGGCAAAATCTGGTTAGCACATCCTGGTTAATGCGTCTGGACGAAAATTCCCACTGTGGCAAACTGGGGGAAATTCCGCAACTGCTCGCACACATATCACCAGTCAAGCAAAGATGACCTCAAGTTAAGGACAGGCAGCACCAAAGACCCCCAAAGTGCCCCCAGCATCATTTCCGGGGCCTTCCACCAGAGAACTGTGCGTGTGTTGCATCAGACAGTGGTAAAACCCTCACCCCCCAGGGGAGTTCCCACCTGAGCCTGAATGTATATGTACCCATTACATTTTTTGTTTTGTGGGCTTTCCCCACCCCTGGCGGATCAAGATTGTGACCATCGCTTCAACAAGTCTCGTTGCTGGGCCCATGGGTGGTGATGTCTCCCCTACCCACTATGTACTCATATCCTTTCTATCTCTCCTTCTTTCCCTTATTTATTTTCTTAAGTGATAACTTTATACTTTTATATTGTTATATTTCTATAGATAATAACTGAAATGGCTACATACCTCCTCTCCATTGTAACCAGACTGTTCTAAAATAAATCTGCAATACACACATACACACACACACACCAGTCATTCAGTGTCATTTCACTCCAATCGACCCCAAGGGATCTATTAACAAGAACCTCAGTTATCCCACCTCAGGGGTGGGTTGTAACACAGCCATCAATCAATACATTTGATTCAAAAACGTATGGGACATCAAAAGTTAGGAAGACAATTTATTACATATTATTTTCAACATATAACTTCATCCTTCTACATTTTAAGTTGTACAACAAAAATAAGAAAAACATATTCTTCTACTTTTATTCTATAGTAGAAAGTTTAGAACTTTTAATTGCTTTCCATATAATGGATAACTATGATAAATTCTCAGTCTTTTGGTGAAACAAGTTTATCTTGACAGCAGATACACTGATTTGTTGCTCGAGATACATTAGGAAGCACTTCATTGCTACTTATTTGGTGAAACAGAGCAGAGTTAAATTCTCTGCCTTTTTTTTTTTGGGACATTGTTTATCTTCAATCCCAGTCTTTCAAAAATATCTAGGATTGTTCTGCTGTAGCCTGGTCCTTGGCAGTTAAAACCAGCTCTGTAAGGGCTGAAAAGCTTCTTATGCTGCTTGTTTCCAATCCCATCTTTTGTATCTAAAAAGATAGAGAAAAAGCATTGATTTTCTGTAAAACATGGAAAAACTCACAAATTATTCTACTTAAAACATTTAGCCAAGCATATTTTCTTCTGCATCTACATGAGGCAAAAGCTCACAACTGCAACGTATACAAATATTTGTCTTCAGCTTTGCTCAGATAAGTCTATCCAGTTAGTGTAGTGTCTTACAAGGAAATATTTCACCATCTTCTAGGCAACTTGTAACTAAAGCCAGCTGGAAGTTTTCCAGTGAAGTATTTAAAAAGAGAAACTTGGCTGTAGTTGGTTTTAATTCATTGATTTCAACTGATTTTTTTTTTCAAACTCCAAATGAGGTTTCTGGGCAAAACTTTAAAGATAAACATGAATACATCCAAGAACAGCCAACAGTATGATGGTGAAAGCATTTCAATAGGCTGCAAGAGCCTATGGTTCTAGCCTTGAACTTCCTGGGAGATGAAAACAACTCTACAAATACAGAGGTTGCTGCAAGTAATTTCTTTGCCAGGAAATCTACTGCTCTGACAATTAGAAAAATATGGCCAAGAGAAAAATAAGAGTGCACTGAAACAAAAATCTGGATTTAACTAAAACCATAATGAAACAGTTCTCAAAAGGTGTTTGCTGCTGGAACCCTTTGTAATATTCACATGTATCAAGAGATCTCCTAAACAACTATGAATGATCTATTCCAGTTCAGCTCAAATTCATAGTGCAGTGACGTTTGTGCACATAACAGGAATAAAAGAACAAAAGCTCAACCTCAGGCAAAAGCTGACAAATATTAGTTCTTGTTATTAAGATATCCCTACTTCTACCCAAATTGTCTTTGTGGTAAGTCTCATATCTGAGAAAAGCATCTGCTCACAAACAAGCAGACTTAATCTACCTGTTACAATGCATCAACAGCATCTGCTCATATACAAGACTGATGACAACTCCTTGGCAACTAATGATATGGACTTGCACTTGGAAGTTTATTTCTACGTATGATTTTCAGAAATAAATGAGTACAAAAAAGTATTCTTATACAATTTGATGCAGCTACTGCACACACTTCCTAGAATATTTTCTTTTTTTTATGTGCATTGTTATTTAGGGTTTCATATTTGGCTGAAAAGAAGTTACAGTTGTGCGGCCAACATCTTCCCAGCTCTTGGGAACAGACCCTGACTGTGCAGAAAGTCAAGGCTGGAAACACCCCGGGAGAAGGCAAACAAAAGCAGGGCCATAAAGAAGTTTCTATCAGATCTAAGGGAGGCCCCTACCCTCCGATCTGTCCACACAGTGTTTCTTCTTACAG